AGTAACACATAGAATATTGGGGGGTTTGCAGAGTATTGCTTAATAAAAGGAATCTTTTTAGCTTTAAGATAAAATTTCTTAGATGCATACACGTTTCCCGCCCCCAGGAGTCCAGTAATATATTTGGCTTTTCTTTTTTCTCTCTACTATATGTGATGCTTAGTTTTATGTGTCAACTTGACTGGGCCACAGGGTGTCAATCCAGAGTCAAACTTTACTCTGGATATTTCTGAGGATGTTTTTGGATGAGTTTAACATATATATGGATAGCCTGAGGAAAGCAGACTACCCTCCCCAAGGTGGGTGATCTCATCTAATTAACTGAAGGTTTGAATAGAAAAAAAGACTGACCCTTCCTGGAGTAAGGGGGAATTCCTCCTGCCTACCTACCTGCCTGCCTTTGAGTTAGAATATCAGTGCTCTTTTCCCCACATCTTTGGACTCAAACGGAAACATCAGCTCTCCTGAATCTCTAACACTCAGACTCAGACTGGAACTACACCATCAAACTCTCCTCAGTCTCCAACTTGCCAAATGCAAATTTTGGGACTTTTTAGTCTCCATAACTGTGAGCCAATTCATTTCTTTTGTGTGTTTGTTTTTTGTTAATTCTCACCCGATTTTTAGGGAGAGAGGGAAAGACAGAGAGAAACATTGATATGAGGGGAAACACATCGATTGGTTGCCTCCTGCATGGGTCCTGACCAGGGCCTGGGGCAGGGAAGAGCCTGCAACCAAGGTACATGCCCAAATCCAGGACTCTTTGGTCTGCAGGCCAATGCTCTATCCACTGAGACAAACTGGCTAATTCTTTATAATAAATCTCTCTGTCTTTCTCTCTATATATATCCCATTGGTTTAGTTTCTCTGGAAAACCCTTACTAATACACCATGTAACTATCTTGATAAATGCAAGAGAGAAAGAGAGAAAGAGAGAGAGAGAGAGAGAGAGAGAGAGAGAGAGAGAGAGAGAGAGGGAGAGAGAGAGAGAAGCATTAAATAAAATTCAAAACCCATTCATGGTTAAAAAATAAAGAAAAAATTTAAACTGAGGTATCTATGAAGAATGTTCACAGCAGAAACAATATTCAAATTTAGGCACATTGCTCTCATAGATTTTTTATATTAAAAGTCAACTTTTAAATTAACTTGAGTTATCATCAACCAAAAGAGCTACATATAATTTTACTTATTTTATAACTCTCCCTGTGGGAAAATAAAACTTTCTCAGATTCCTCAGTGCTTCTGCCAAAAGCCCTCACCTTCCATATTATATAAAGAGGGAATGTTGCTTTCATTTTTACCAGAAATATTTTGCTGTTTACATACCTTAAGAATTAGATCTGTAGCAAATTATACAGTTAATTGCTCTAATCCAAAGGAGAATTAAATTTCTCTTGTTCCCCTGAGAGTGCCTAGTGGGTCCCCAAGAAGGCAGAGGTGAATGCATAGATTAATTCCTAGTTTCAGTCCCAAGATGCCAGGAAGATAGAGCTTTCTCCTATTTACATTTTAAGCAAGAATGAGTCCTAGGAATTTAGAGATGTCATTAGAACAAAGAGAGCTAACTGACTCCTGTGAAGATATGATTTATTTACCAAAGGGTTAGAGCAGGGGTGGGCAAACTTTTTCACTCGAGGGCCACAATGGGACAATGGGTTCTTGAACTGGACCGGAGGGCCGGAACAAAAGCATGAATGGAGTGTTTGTGTGAACTAATATAAATTCAAAGTAAACATCATTACATAAAAGGGTACGGTCTTTTTTTTTTTCAATAGTTTTATTCATTTCAAACGGATGCGGGCTGTAGTTTGCCCACAGCTGGGTTAGAGTTAATATTCATTAACATTTTCAGAGGCCTTTTCAGGGGCGGAGGGAGAGAGCTACTTCCTTTCCTTTATAAGCAAAGAAAAGTCATTGTTTCTCACCCCTTATCTATGGGATGGCTACTCCATAAATAAATGACCTGTATCTTGTTGCATTTTCCTAACAGTAATGACTAGAGCAGTGATTGGCAAACTGCGGCCCCTTGAGTATGGCTCTTCCACAAAATACCACATGCAGATGCGCACGTACAGTGCGATTGAAACTTCATGGCCACACTCAAGGGGCCAAAGAGCCGCATATGGCTTGCGAGCCGCAGTTTGCCGACCACTGGACTACGGCAAAGGAGGGCCAATACATTTATTACTTACTATAAGGTATTCACTATATTTGTCTGATCCAGAACACCTCGTGTAGATCCAAGATAAAATTATTAACAACCCAATAGTTCCCAATGCACCTCTCATTATGAGAAATATGAAAAAAGTAACTATAGTTAGAGTAATTTCCAATGAGGTGCAGGAAAATGAATGCTACACAAAATACCTAGGTCTATTAGATTCAGGTAGTGTATTCTTATGGAATACCCATACCCTCTGTTACTTCACTTCTTGATTCTGGAAAGACCCAGTCCTCCACAAACCTTGCTCAGATTAAGAACAAAATGCCAGCATCCTTCTTATCCTTCCAGTGATTCTCATTATTAGGAACTGAGGAGATACTATGATTTTCTGATAAACTCCTCACTGTTAAGATTCTCAATACTCATTCTCTAAAATGTAAAAATTATATGATTTGGATAACTCACAACATCCAAACTATCTAAACTTTCACTTTTACTTTCTGAACTCAGTAATTGAACAGATTTTGATCATGAGGAACACTTGTATTATAGACAGGCTTTCAGAGGAAAACAAGAAATCCTCCTATATAATAAAAGGCTAATATGCAAATTGACTGAATGATGGAATGACTGCTCACTACAATGAGCACTGACCACCAGGGGGCAGACACTCAATGCAGGAGCTGCCCCCTGGTGGTCAGTGCACTTCCTCAGCCAGAAGCCGGGCTCACAGCTGGTGAGCACAGCATCGGTGGCAGGAGCCTCTCCCACCTCCGTGGCAGTCGGTCAACCCCCGAGAGCTCCTGGACGCAAGAGGGCACAGGCCAGTCTGAGACCTGCCCCCCCCAGTCCCCCCATAAGCACACCGGGTCTCTAGTGTAATTATAAACGTATATTCACATGTATTGAATGTGTATGCATGTGTATGTACGTGTATGTTGTAAGATGCCTAGCCCAAAGGTTTCTACCCAGTTGTTCAAAGTGTTATTGCTGGGTGTCCACCAATTCACAAGTTTACAAATTCTGCCTATAAATTTGTATATAACTTGATGCTCCCATCTATAAACAATGTATTGGTTAAGCGAATCTATATGCATACAATGAAAAATCTATGTAGACAATAAAAATGAAGTTGTGGGTTCTGAAAATCAGTAATACAAATCTCCATTTGAATACCTGGAAACTGAGGCTCAATAACATGAGGAGTAAAAATAAGTCAACTGCTGAATAACCTGTATTAAATGGCATACCGGTGCAAGAACATCTGATCAGCATTTAAACATGAGTTCACCTATCTCTCATGTTAACAGAAACCTTGGGATAGCCACTACTCTATCAACCACTTCATCTCCTTCACTAAACTGTACACATTAGCATCACTCCTGAACCCATCACAATCTGATCCCTGAAGTAATTTAATTTCTCTACCTAAACTCAATATATTCCACACCCATTGACCTGGATACTACCTACTAAATATGTCTTAAACCAGTCTCTTCTTATATCATCATTCTTACTTTTCTCATCCAAACATACATCACCCTCTATGGTAATAGTTTCCTACCTCATCTCTCTCTCCCTCCTTCAATTTATCCTCTACATAATAACCAAGGTAAGCAAAAAACAGATTTGATCATGCTGCATACATAATCAAAACCTCATCCAACTCCCTTTAAAAACCATTGCTCTTAGGATTAAGTCCAAACTTCCAAATATTTGAACATTGCCTGCATGATGCTGTAGGATATAGCCTCCTATAACCCTTTTCCAGCCTCATGTTCTACCACTTTCTCCCAATTACTATAATGTTCTTTTATTTCTTCAGCCTCACAAATCATTTTTTTGAATCTTTAAATATGGCACTGTCTCTTCTGGAACCACATTTATCTGAGTAATTCCATTTACCACTCTGTGTAGTTCAAGAGAACAGAGTCTCTTTCCTTCATTTTTTACTGAACTATACCCCTTACATAAATACATGACATTCAAGAAGTATTTTTTTAATATCACAGTCACAATTACAAAATAGAACAAAGATACTTCACGGGAAGACTGGTCTGTAGAAGGTCTAAGTATCATGGCTATAAAGGAGAGTACCAAAGGCCATAGTAAAATGCTGTTAACTAAATGGCAGCAACAAAAACAGAGACTTTGTGGTATTTTCAGAGATAAAAATGAAATAAATTGAAATATTATATGATCACTTATTAATAGTTTCTAAGGGAGAAAAAAGAACATTTTAAATTTTACTCACAAGTTTTTCTTTCTCTAGTTTTTGCAGTAAACTCTCCATGTTACTTCCAATTCTTGTCTTTTCTACAACTTCATAAAGACTGCAATACATTCCATTCTTCAAAACTGACATAAGAAAAAATACATAGTAAATATTCAGATTCAAGTCTGCTTCTTATATTTCAGTAAAATTAAATTACTTTACCTTCATTTGAACCGAAGTATGCTTCCCTGTAAAACAGCGCTGGAGGAATTTTCTGTTTCAGATGATCAATACTCATAACTGTTTCAACATCTAGCTTCTCAGGACTGAAAGAAAATTTAAAAAGCATATTTCCATACATGTATTTTTAACTCTAGCAATGGTATATCTCTCTCTCTCTCTTTTATAGACACACACACACACACACACACACACACACACACCCATCTTGCTGGAAAACAAAGAGCATATTTATTAGCACCGTACTTTAAAGAAGATTTGATATAGGAAGTCCAGATGTACAGGTAAATAGATACATAGCCTGGCAATATTACCAAACTTCCAAATGTAAGGCAGAAGCTAATTCTACATGCCAATATTACTAATAACAAAGGATATAAGGTTGTCATTTTATTAAAAACAATTCAAGTATCTACTGTTCACATAGTCCTCAAACATTTATGAAGGTTCATGTTTATTGTGATGGTATCAAAAGATCATTTTATTTTCATTTTTTAAATTGATTTTTAGAGAGAGAGAAAGGGGGGAGAGAGGCAGGTAGAGATGGAGGGAGGAGGGAAGTAGAGAGGGAGAAGGAGCGGGAAAAAAAAGAGAAACATCCATGTCAGAGCAAAACATCAATCGACTGCCTGCCGGGGATAAGCCCTCAACCTGGGTATGCGCCCAGACAGCAAATTGAATGACAACCTTTCGTTGCATGGAATGATACCCAAACAACTGAGCCACACCACAGGGCAGCAAAAGGTCATTTTAGACTTTTCTATTCCAGCATATTCCCAAGACTGAAAACAGCCTATAAATTTTAACTTAAAACATCAAAGCTGTTTCCAACAAACAACTGATAAATTTTAAGTCTATCATGTTCAAATTGCCAAATGGAAAAATATATCTAATAAAGATAAAAATTTTTGTATTGATTTTAGAAAGAAAAAAGGGGAGAGAGAGAAAGAAAGAAACATCGATATGAGAGAGCAACATCAATCGATTAGGTTGCCTCCTGAACGTACCCTCACCAGGGATTCGAACTTGCCACCTTTCAGTGTATGAGACAACACTCCAACCAAATGAGCCAAACCAGCCAGGGCTTGGATAAAACTTTTTAAAATCAGAGAAAATAAGAGTCCATTAAAATCTCTGTCAATTACTTTGTTTTAGTGATCAGATTCAAAGAAATGGCCTCAATACATATTTAAATGTAGTCATTAATCATTCAATAAATATTTACTAATATTCTAAGTAAAAGGACTACAGGGATGAATAAGTCCCCTGCCTTCATAGAGCTTATAATCTCACAAGGCAGATAGAGAACAATAAGAAAGGTATTTACCAGATGGTGATGGTTTTAAGTTCTAAGGGTAAAAAAAGACACTAAGAGTACACAGGATAAAACTTTTTAAAATCACTTTTAAGATTTAAATTCATTAAGAAAAAGTTTTATGCCACGAATGTGTATGACTTTTTAGCCCATCCTCAAACCAAGATAGAAAACCAGAGGGCTCATTATGCCAATTAAGTTTCTAAAGATATCAAATCAATCTTTGTAAAAAACAAACCAATACTGATAATGAAGTTCTTATGCACTAAAGTACCAAAGTAAAATTTAAATACAAGTAAGAAAGAAAAGGAAATAGGGAAATCACTATTTTTTGGTAATATAGCATACTTACAGTTTGATAGGCAAAAAAGCACGAGTGGCTGACCTCAGAGAAATATAGCACAAAAGCTTTCCTTTATTTAAAAGCTGTCCTTTCCACAATGTGTAGTGAAATTTATCTTAAAAAAAAAAAAAAAAGGACACAATTCTTGGCAACCCAGAAGCAAATATATGTTTACTAGAAAAAAGGAAAAAAACATCTAGAAACAAGGTTTTGTAGAACAAAACAAAATATTTGACATTTATATTTACAGGAGAGTCCAAATATTAGGATTTTTTGTTTAAACTATCGTTTCCTCTACAAAATTATTCTAGCTGCAAAGAATAACAATTTTGTCTAAATGTCTTCACATCAGAAAGCTGAGGAGCAAAGACAAATAATTTGCCCTCTTATTTCCCCCAAAAGAGACTATATGAAATTCGGTTAACTACATGAATCCATACAATGTCTCATATCTTCTTCTCAATCTCTTTTCATTGTGGAGAAACCTGACTGAAACCTTTGATGAATTTAATACTTTTAAAGGCTGAATTGTGAAACTTGTATTGTTTACTATTATTGATCCAAGTGGTCAAACCTGATCTATTCACAGCAGCAGCAGCTTCTCAGGGACACCTTATGCCTGGATGACCAAATGCTGATGCTATATCATAGCATGGCCTCACCCTCCTTTTCATACTTTGCAGCTTCTCATTCATTATGAAAATAAATCAAAGCACTTAATGTATTAATTTTTTACTATGTGCATGTACTCTTTTTTCTTTTTTTTAATATATTTTCTTGATTTTTTACAGAGAGGAAGGGAGAGAGATAGAGAGCTAGAAACATCGATGAGAGAGAAACATCGATCAGCTGCCTCCTGCACATCTCCTACTGGGGATGTGCCCACAACCCAGGTACATGCCCTTCACCGGAATCGAACCTGGGACCTCTCAGTCCGCAGGCCGACGCTCCATCCACCGAGCCAAACCGGTTTCGACTGTGCATGTACTCTTTCAATTTAGAAAACTAAAGAATCTTACCTGCATTTCTATCTGCATTAAAGCTGTTAGATCTACAAAAAAAAAAAAAATTTTTTTTAAATTACCGATTGTTAATATAAAAGTTAACACTCAGGACCTTGAGATAGGTGCTATTTTTAATGGCATACTATACAAGAGAATTAAATTCTCCTTCCAAGTAGGAGGAAGCAGTTAATTACTTACTATAACATTTAATAAATCCAAGTTTACTTGGAGAAAAGAATTACTTACTTGACCTGAATTACCTTATTTGCCCAAAATTAAGGTGCTGTTTTACCCAAAAATATCCATCAGGAGAAAATAAGAGTCCATTAAAATCTCTGTCAATTACTTTGTTTTAGTGATAAGATTCAAAGAAATGGCCTCAATACTTATTTAAATGTAGTCACTAATCATTCAATAAATATTTACTAATATTCTAAGTGAAAGGACTACAGGGATGAATAAGTCCCCTGCCTTCATAGAGCTTATAATCTCACGAGGCAGATAGAGAACAATAAGAAAGGTATTTACCAGATGGTGATGGTTTTAAGTTCTAAGGAGTAAAAAAAGACACTAAGAGTACACAGGTTAAAAAAAAAAAATCACAGAAGACCTCACTGATAAGGTCACCTTTAAGGAAGTGTAAGTGTAAATTATGCAAATTGGGGAACGAGAAGAACAGCAGATGCAGAGGCCCTGAGGCAGGCACATTAACGGGTGGCATTCAAGGTACAGCAAGGATGTTCAATCAATGCTTGTTTTAAATGCTATGAAGGTAAAAAGATGGAATCAAACAGGAGGCAAAGAAAATTAATGGATAATCATTATTCCTGGGAGTATGACCTCATAATTATTAAAGCGCTGAGTACCTTCTGAAGATCATTGCTGAAAGGCAGTATAACAAATATATCATGGAGATGATAAATACAGACATATACGCACATACAAAAAACCCAAATGTCTGGATATTATGTGAATCCATACTTGTGGCTATGGATGGTTTCTAGGACTAATCACGATATGAAAAAAGTGTTAGATCTCAAACAAGTAAAATGAAGATGATGCTTTGATCTGGAAACTAATAAAGAAGTCAACCTCAAAAATGTCTAGTATGTTTAAGAATGTGGCTTTAAAAACAGCAATATTTCTAAACAAATGTATATCATACACGACTTTGATTATGGGTACTCAAATTAAAAATATGTAGATATTTGACCATTTCACCTATATCCTTACTTAATTTTGCCAAAACATTTTCTGGAATAACTACATGGGAACAAAAAAAGGGGAAGCTACTTTATATTTGGTCACCTTATATTATAGCTTACAGGAAATCAATGGTACTCAACTCTGGCTAAAAATCAGAATCAGCCTGGTCACTGTTTTGATTCCCAGTCAGGGCATATGCCCGGGGTTGAGGGCTCAATCCCCAGTAGGGGGCATGCAGGAGGCAGCCAATCAATGATTTTTCTCTCTCATTGATGTTTCTATCTCTCTAGAAAAAAAAAAAAATCAGAAATCACTTGGAAGCTTTTAAAAACTACCAGTGCTTAAGCTACTTAATACCTGATTTTGGTTTAATTGGTTTGAGGAGGGAGCTGGGGCTTCTTTAGTAGAAGCTCCCGATTTCCAGGAGAGCTAACACACAAAATTTCACTTTTAAAAACTACCTTTACTCAACTATGCAAACCTTCAATATCAAGGAAAAAGAGGTTTAACTGTGAGGTTCAAGTAAACTTTAGCTTATATTTCCATATAGTTTCAGTATCTGTCCTTTACATTAACATTTTAAATATATTTTTACTGATTTCAGAGAGAGGGAGAGAGAGATAGAAACACTAATGATGAGAGAGAATCACTGACTGGCTGCCTCCTGAATGCCAATGGGGGGTCAAACCTACAACTTGGGCATATGCCCTGACTGGGAATCAAACATGACCTCTTGGATCATAGGTCGATGCTCAACCACTGAGCTACACCAGCTGGGCTACACTGACCTTTTAAATCACAAAGAACATTTATGTATCTAATTAATATTAAGGGAGAAAAAAAATAGGAACAAAACAAAGTGTTCCTTCTAACTATGCAGTCCAGGTTATATAATATAACACCATTCTGGATGATGCCCAAAACTCCTAAACCTTACCTTAATGAAGGTACAAACTTCGGAGGTTGTATATCATCTTGGTAAGTAAAAGACACAACTGCATATGGACACACGTGTCTTGGTCTTTGCCTTAGTTCATCAAAGCTATACTCATAGAAGTAATACTAAAAATAAAAAAATGCAAAATTAACTTCGTTAAGAAAGCAAAAATACAGAGTGGGAATCTTGTATTTATCTGCCTGGTTTTTGAAAAATATAACACTTAAATGTGCCTCTACCAGAAAATATCTTTAAACACTGCTTGCCAATTTAACTATAATAATTTACACTTTATATTCATTTTAGGATATAAATTTTACACACACACACACACACACACACACACACATATATATATTGGATGCCAGAATACTAGTAGCTTGATTCCAGAAGTTTACTTCTGAAGACTTGACAATCAGGAATATGGTCAACAAATTTCCTCATAAAAATGTTACAAATGGGGCTCCCAAATCAGCTCAGAAAAGCCAATTTGATACAAAATTAAAATACTACAGACACAACCTCAACCAAACCTACCATGTTGTTCATGTCAAAAGGAAAACATAGTCTTAGCTCTAACTGCAAACAAAGTAGCAAGAGAAATCAGAGTAGCCGACCCTCTTCCTACTGCCCATCTGCATCTTCCCTTCACCTCTTCACAACATTCATTAGACCAGGGTTTTGTGACTTGCAGACTAGTAGTTTGGTCAACCCATGAACCAGGAGGTTATGGTTCAGATCCCTGGTCAGGGCACAGGCCTGGGTTGTGGGCTTGATCCCCAGTAGTGGGGTGTGCAGGAGGCAGCTGAGCAATGATTCTCTCTTATCATTGATGTTTCTATCCTTTTTTCCCTTTCGCTTCCTCTCTGAAATCAATAAAAACATATTTAAAAAAAAAGAGAGAGTGCCCCAGTTTATAAACAAGGCATTATCCTTCGAAGTCCATTCCCTTGGAGTAATGATTTCAATAATGTTGCTCTGAAAATGCCTGGAAAGTGTTTTGAAATACAAACCAGGTTACAAGTTCTGCTAGAAAAGCCAATCCTATCTAATAATAGAGAAACATGGTAATTAACCATAACTTCGCTACCCTCCCCATTGGCTAATCAGTGAGATATGCAAATTAACTGCCAGCCAAGATGGCGGCCAGCAGCCATTCAGCTGAAGCGAACATGAGGCTTGGTTGCTCCAGTGATGGAGGAAGCCAAGGTTCCCCGCCTGCCACAGCCCAGCTCTGAGCTCCGGATGCCACC